TGAGTGTGGTGGTGTCAGCCTAGCTCACAGCAACCTCAAACTCCTGGGCTCAAGCAATCCTTCTGCCTCAGCCTCCCAAGTAGCTGGGACTACAGGCATGCACCACCATGCCTGGCTAATTTTTTCTCTATATATTAGTTGGCCAATTAATTTCTTTGCATTTATAGTAGAGACGGGGTCTCGCTCTTGCTCAGGCTGGTTTCGAACTCCTGACCCCGAGCAATCTGCCTGCCTCGGCCTCCCAGAGTGCTAGGATTACAGGCGTGAGCTACCGCGCCCAGCCTAGTCCTGTCTTCTTAGGCTCTTCTTGACCATGACAGTTTCTCAGACTTTCATTGTTTTTGATGACCTTGACAGTTTTAAGGAATGCTGGTCATATATATTATAGAGTGCCCCTCAATTGAGATTTGTCTGATGTATTTCTCATGATTATGGTTTGCCTTTCACTGGCTAGGCTATATGGGGAGGTTGCTCTTAATCACAGTAAACTCTGTGAGGAAGGAAGATTAGGATTTGAAAATATTTGCTGTGGATAACCAAAGATAAGCATTGACAGCATTCTTTGTTGGAACTGAAACATTGGCTACATTATTTACATTTCTTATATTTTATCATTTTCAGAAGAAGTCAATCCTAATTCGGGCTAGAAGCAAAAGACTAGGTTATGTGATCTACTTATATCCCTAAAACAGGTTCTTTTCTAATTGCACCTGTTGGGGCAGTAAGGATGAGTTTTAATGTTGCTCCTAAGAGCTTTATTTAATCTGTATTGGCCTTTTAATTAGTAATGGGCAATTCTGGGTGAATTGTTAATTGATTAGAATTGTGGAAATTATACACAAAGCTGTTTTGTCCCTGCAGCCTAGAACAGTGTAAGATTTTAACAGGGTCTGGTTTAGTTACTATTCTAAGATGGATACTTGAAAAGTATTATTATAGTGGCTTTGGTTTGTATTCCAGCCTGGTGGTGGTTTTAACTCTGCTAAGAATTATTGTCTTTTAACTCACCAAGGTCCTCAATTCTACTCCATTAAGGGCCACTTTTCTGCCAATCAAAAAGCAGCATCCCTGAGATTGATTTTTGTTACAGTGGATAGTAATGGCTGCCTAGTGACAACATTTCAAACTCTTTTATGTAAACAGAAAGCAATCAAATAAGTACTAATCCAAGGATTATGTGGACTCAAATCCTGTGGCCAGAAGAATCTCTGCAGTGTATGTCCCTGGCTCTTTGCCGTCTAGTGCCAAGCAGCCCCTCTTTTGCTTCCTGGAAATCTTGTTTGCTGCTTGTGCTGCCTGTTAGATTTCAGTATGCTAAAACCAAAACACTCCTGCAGCTCCTGAATGAAATTCAAAAAGACACTTACATTTCCATAAATAAATTAGGAATTCAGTGGTTTCTTCGGGCTAATCAGGGCAGGCTGATAAACCTTGCTAGCTGTTTAATAAATGAATTGTGACTGATTACCTATTAATATGGACGCCTCAGGAATTCACCCTGGGGGAAGCAGAGCAGTGAAATAGAGAGGGGCATGGCCCCTTGGGAAATCAGGGCTTCATGTTTGCAGCTTAAATATCTCTGTGAAGTATCAATAAGGAGGTAATTGAATTTTGAACACAAACATGAGTGCCGGATGGATGAAAGGGGGTGGGGGGATCTGATCGTCTCTTCTCTGCCCCTTCATTCTCCCCTCCCCTTTTCCTTAGAGACCACTCTAGTAAAGATAGATGCTAAATCCATTAAATAAAGATTAGACTCTGTCGTAGTAGAAAATGGCAGCTTAGCTAGATCCCCAAGCAAATTGGAGCCTTTTGCAGTACAGAAAATTAAAATATACATTTTTAACAAGCATGCTATCTTCCTAGCAATAATACCAAACTAGCTTGTGGGGTTTGCTCCTCCTTTGGATTGGCTTTTTGTTTGGGCAGATCACTTTCTCTTGTATTAATGCCAATCTTTTCTGTATTCCTGGAGCAGAAGGGACTGGGTTTATTTATTTATTTTTAAAGCTTCTGTTGGGGCCTTTCCTCCAGCATCCTGCTTGCTTGTAATCAGAGGAGTGGGAAGGAGATTAGTGTCCCATGAATTGACGGTAGATAAATGTTCCCTCCCCTTAACTGGTGGGCCCAGAAGAGCCCAATCACTTGTATTTCAGGGATGATTGGAGACTGTACAGCCCAGCAAGAAAAGGGCTTACAGATGGAAATAAACATTGATGTTTTAAATGTAGTTTTACTTGGCTTTATTTCCTCTAAATAACGTTATTGATTTGCTTTGTCCTCCTATTCTAAGCCAGATAAAGTCATATTAATGTAGGAAAAACCAATTGGCATCATTTAGTTAAAGATCATAATACCCATTTTTTAGCAATAACAAAAAACAAGCATCAAACCTTAAATACTTTTGTTATATTGATGTGACTGCCCAGTATTGGCTTTTTGTATTAACTCTTTTATATGTCAATCTACAGTTCTAATAACCCTTTCCTAAGGCTTTAGTTGGTCAGTCTATCATCAAGTATTAGTTGAACATTTGTTAGGTATATGTAGCATTGTCAGTTACCTTGGTCAATGGTGAAAAAAGTCTTCTGCTGTCATAGATACTTCTTTTTTTATTTGTTTATTTTGTGTGTGTGTGTTTTGTTTGCTTTTATTATTTTTAATTGACACATAAGAATTCCATATACTTATGAGTACCAGATGATATTTTAATATATGTATACAATGTATAATGATCAAATCAGGGTAATTATCAGGGTAATTAGTATATTCTTCACCTCAAAGATTTATCATTTCTTTGTGTTGGTAACATTCAAAATCTACTCTTTTAGCTATTTGAAAATATATAATTTGCTGTTAATTATAGTCACCCCCTACAGTGCTATAAAACACTAGAATTATTCTTCCTATCTAGTTGTAACTTTGTATCTGTTAACCAACCTCTCTCCATCCTCCCCTCCCCTGTACCATGTACATCTTCTAATAATGGCTCTTCTACTCTTACTTCTAAAAGATGAACTTTTTTTAGTTTTCACACATGAGTGAGAATGTGCAATATTTATCTTTTTGTACCTGGCTTACTTCACCTAATGTCCTCCAGACTCATCCATGTTGCTGTGAATGACAGGATTTCATTCATTTTTATAGCTGAATAGTACTCCATTGTGTATATATCACATTTTCTTTATTCATCTCTTGATGGAAACTGGGTTGATTACATATTTTGGATATCCATAGATACTTCTTTTTTTTTTTTTTTTTTTTTGAGACAGAGTCTCACTTTGGTGCCCAGGCTAGAGTGAATGCCGTGGCGTCAGCCTAGCTTACAGCAACCTCAAACTCCTGGGCTCAAGCGATCCTACTGCCTCAGCCTCCCAAGTAGCTGGGACTACAGGCATGCGCCACCATGCCCGGCTAATTTTTTCTCTATATATTAGTTGGCCAATTAATTTCTTTGTATTTATAGTAGAGACGGGGTCTCACTCTTGTTCAGGCTTGTTTTGAACTCTTGACCTTGATCAATCCGCCCGCCTTGGTCTCCCAGAGTGCTAGGACTACAGGCATGAGCCACTGTGCCCGGCCCATAGATAGTTCTTTAAAAACAAAGCAAATCATGTCATATTCCTGCTTATAAAGGTTCTTTTTTTTCTTGTGATTATTCCGTAAACAGAGTGCAATTTAATTTTTCTGATCAAAACTGAAATTTCTGCTTATTTGGGGAGTTTTTTTATTATTTCAGAATATTACAGGGGTACATTTTGGTTACATAATTGCTTTTGTACCGTTTGAGTCAAAGTGTGCCCATCACCCAGATGGTGTGTGCATTGTACCTGTTACGTGTGAATTTACCCATCCTCTCTTCCCCCTCTCACCTGCTTGATTTCCAATCAATGTTATTTCCATATATGCACATAAGTGTTGGTCAGTTAGTACCAATTTAGTGGTGAGTACATGTGGTTAGTGTTTTTCCATTCTTGTGATACTTCATATAAAAGTTCTTTGTCTCCTTGAGTCCTACAAGATACAATCATATTCCCCAGGCCTTCACAAAAGTGCCTTCCTAACATTGACCTAGCCTTTTTCTATAATTTTATCTAGAAAACCACTTAGTTTTCAGGCTGTTTTAAGTCCCATTCCTCTCCAAGTATTATCTGCCTATTCCTCCAGGCAGAGTTAAATTTTTGTCACCATGCAGAGTGGGATCTACACCTGGGCTCTGAGGATTTCCTGTGGAAGAGAAAATGTACAATTTCTTGGTCTCAGTAATTAAGGACTTTGTGCATCATTTGCCACATGGTGTTGCAAATGTTCCTAATTCTTTGTTTCAACTTCAGAGATACATCAGTGATCAAATTTTTGATGATTTGTCCTTGTGACATTCACTTTATTATTTAACTTTGTTTTGCAGCAATAAAGGAAATGTTTCTTATTAAGTCAATTAAGGTGGGTCTAGCACAGTGGCTCACACCTGTAATCCTCTGGGAGACTCAGGTGGGAGGATTGCTTGAAGTCAGGAGTTTGAGACCAGCATAAGCAAAAGTGAGACCCTTTCTCCACCCAAAGATAGAAAAAACTAGCCAATCATGATGGCACATGCCTGTAGTCCCAGCTATTGGAGGGAGGTAGGCAGGCTGAGGCAGGAGGATCACTTGAGCCCAAGAGTTTGGGATTGCAGTGAGCTATGATGATGCCTCTGCACTCTACCTGGGGAGACAGAGCAAGACTGCCTAAAAAAAAAAAGTTAAGGTGTTTGTTTGTCCTATCACTTCCTATCATTACTGCCTCTTAAGTTATTTATCTCTAGAAATCAGAAATCAAATGTATTTAACTTGATTGCCACAGTTCACAAATGGTCCTTAATAATTTTGAGTGCTATTTCTCAAAGCCAAATAGCACAAAATTTCAGAATTTTCTCATCCTTCTTATGTTGCAAGTTATACTGATGTTACATCCAGATGGTTATAGTTTTCCTCCCATGTCTCTCTAATCTCTGCTTCCAGCCATATTGCTGGGCCTCAGATCTCCTTCCAGCCTTACCAACAACACAGGGTTGCTGGAGCCGTGGGAAGCAAGCATGTAAAGGCTCTGTACTCTTAGTAGTTGGATTTCAACTATTGTAAGTTACATGTTTTAAACCTTATTTGACATTAATGGATTAATGCAAGTAAAATGTATTTTCTTATTTGTATTAATAATTTTCAGTATATATCTTTTCACTTAATTATAAGAAAGATTTAATACCAGAAATTCTTCAGTAAAAAAAATCTGACACAAATTATCCCTAAAATTTTTAAATAACATAAAGACTATCATTGACTTTATCACTTTGAGAGAAGACTTTCTTGGTATCTTGCTTTCCTAAAGCTTTCTGGTGACCTTAGCATAACCTTCATTCAATAAAGTATCTCTTGCCTGCCTTTGTATGTACAAAACACAGTACCATTAGAATTATCTGCAGTATGTTACTACTTACACAATTACTGATTTAAGCTTCTGTATGAGTATGGGTAATGCTCAGGTGTCTGGCTTATTCAGGAAATTTCTGTAGCCATGGTTCTTAACCTAGAGTCTCAGAGTCTCCTGAAATTAAAAATAAAATTGTATGTGTATAGGCATATATGTATATTTTTCTACAGAGAATAATCCGTAACTTTGATCAGATTTTTTAAAAGATGTCTATTATGGATTGAATTTTGTTCTCTCAAAAAAGATATGTGGTGTCCTAATTTCCAGTATCTCAGAATTACTTGGAGATAGGGTCATTACAGGGGTAATCGGGTTAAAATGAGGTCATTAATGTGGCCCCTAATCCAATATGACTAGAGTCCTTATGTTAAGGAGAAATTTGGACACACAGACACGCATACAGAGAAGACAGAGGAAGAAGATGCCATCTACCAGCCAAGGAGAGAATCCTGGAACAGATCCTTCCTTCATACCCCTCAGAAGGAACCAGCCCATTCTGGCATTAACTCAAGCTGCTGTATAATGTAGATGTGCAAAGGATTATTTATGGACCAAAATACCCTTCTGTATAGTTTATAATCTTTATAAACTAAGGGAATTAGGTTCCCTAAGGTGGCCACTGTTCTTACTTAGCCCAGATAAAAACTGATAATTCTTCACTATCAACTTTATGTAGTTCCATATGCATATCAAGATTTTGAGATTACTAGGTAAAAATTGCTTTTTATATTATTCATAGTAAAAGGAAAGAGTTTACCTTTTGAAAAAAGTATATCTTTTTCACCTTTATAATTCTTTTATACTTTAGGCCATACTGATTTTCAGAAATCCCTTCTAGTTAATGTCTACTGAACATTAATTAACTTACTCTCCACTTTCTCAAGCACTAATGGAAATACTGGATTATAAGCAATCTAATACTCTGGACATTCCACCAGACATTTTCCTCACTGTGATTTAAGGCAGTTTGTAATCACTCCTTGTGGTCTTGAGGCCAGTTTTCAATTCATGTGACTCATATATCCTGCCTAGTTTTAATTAATTTTGCAAGGAAGATGCCAGGAGAAGCAGTATTAAATGCTTTCTTATAATCAGGTTATTTCATCTATTGGGTTCTTGTCAGCCACTAATCTTATAATTTTATCACAACAAAATACAAAAGTTTCCCTGACATAGTTTGTTCTTTATTGTTGTTCTTCAGTGCTTAGTACTCATGGTTTGGGTAATCTTATATTTATGATTGTCTTATTTAGAATTGATTAGAGAATTTCTTTAGATTTATAACAGTAATTGCTAGAATTCATTTTTTAACATTAGGATTTGGGATAAGCCTTAATTGGTATCACATTGTGTTTTGTTTATTTGGGCTTTGGGTGATTTTGTCAGCAAGGATTCAGTCAGGAGTAATTTGAACAGGAAGAATTTAAAATAAAGAATTGTTAACTAGGTGAAATGTGCTTAACTTCTAAAAGGGTAAAAGAAGACTCAAAGGTATACAGAGTTAGCAACTGCAGAATGCTGCTAACCCCTAGGGCTGAAGGAGAGTGAACAATGAAGGAACTTAGAAATTTAGAGGAGGTCCCCCCACAAGGGTGAAATGCAGACCTGTGAGGAGAAGACACACTGCCCCAGGAACAAGCTGCCTGTGGCCAGAGGTTACTCTGTTCCTGTATTACAGGAGCAGCTTACCCCATGACAGTGAAGAATCTGCCAGAGGGAGGGAGCCCCATCACTGAACTGTGAAGATCACCATTGCAAAGGTGAACAATGCTGGGACCCCTGCATGCCAACCTGCTGGTCACTGCACAGAAAAACCACACAGTGCAAGAAGGAAGAAAAGTTCTTTCTTCTTGCTTCCGCTTTGCAATCTTCCTCCAGTCCCCTTTAATGGCAAAGCTTAACATCAAGCCAGGTGGCAGAGGAGATATGTAGCCTGCTGCCTGATGAGTCCAGCTCCAGTATCACATGGTAGGGCAAAGAAGGATGAGTTAGGAGCTGAGAGACAATAAGTGAATAATTAGTACAGCGAGTAATAGCTTTGTATAAATTTAAATCTCACAAATTAAATTCATTTTGTTTCATTTTGGTTTTCAATAGACGTTTATTTCTCTCAAAGCAACTTTTGCACTTGTCTGGGTAGCTCTCACCACCTAGACAATGCTACCTGAGCCACTGATTAACTTAGATATAAATGCCCTCCAAAATATTGTTGGTTGCTTTTCCCAAAGGGGTTTAATAAGTATTACTTAATAAACAGGTTTAACAAATTTTCAAAATAAAGAAAATGATAGTAATTAGAAGACAACAAAACATGAATGTGAAAAAAATGATTGCTATTCCACTCTCTTAGCCACATAGAATTTTCCTAATTTCCTTTGTGACTAATACTCTCTTCACTTTTCATTTTTTATTTTTTCTCCCAATTTTTTTAGCCACATTGAGCTTTTATATTCCTGTCTTCTTTAGCACCTTTCTTAACAACCATTTAATTGTTCTTTATGCTTGTCTTTTCAATTAAATTGTAAGGCCCTTGTAGTCATTGACCATGCTTTATGTTACTTTTGTGTATTGTAGAATAGTACTGTACAAATGCCTGTTGAGTAGATGGAATCATTTTATGTTTACAGAATAAGAAATGGAAACAGCCTGCAAGGCAGTCAGAGAACAGATAGGTGCTTACAATTTTTTTCCTCCCATTGCTACTATTCCAGGAGCTATCAACAGTCTGCTAGTTGTCTGTTGCTCTCTAGAAGGAGTATAACTAACACTAGGAATGTAAAGACAATATCACGATGGGGGGATGTGGGGGATGATAAAACAGTTACAATCATGGAGAAAGCTGAAAGTATCTAAAGTGAAAAATGAATGTGGGGAGAGAGTACTTCCAGGATGATGATGATTTTAATGCACAAATTTCCTTCCCAAATGTTAATAAAATATAATTTTTAAAAAGATATAAGCTCTCAAGGAGAGAACGTGAAAGAAGACAGCAGCAAAATTTTGGAAGCTGAAAAGCACATGAACTTAGCAGACCTATGAAAAACAATACTAAAGTGAGGAAGGAAGGCCAAGAACCAAGCCAGTTCACAATACTCTAAAAGGCTAAAGATTGGTGGTACCAGGTGGAAGAGGGAGATGGTTTAAATAAGAAGGATTAATTACAGTTTGAAGGAGTTGGATACCTATATCACCTGCTTTATTCTACCCACAAAACACCAGAGCTTTAGTCTCTAGAGAGGGTAAAACAGTTGATTCCTCAACTGGTGGATATCAGACCAGCTGAAGATGAGGTCTGTACTGAAATTGTAGTGAATTATGCACACTCTATGCTGAGACCACTCCTCCCTCACAGCCAGGCCTTCACCCTCCAGTCAGGAGATTTGGAAGACACTTTTCTAGGGAATCTGACCAGCCCAAGAAGAATAAAGGCACTGACATAGAAAGTTCTACAACTAAACAACCTGCTCATACTCCAGTGAAGCTTCCAGTCAACAAGCAAACTCCTAATGCTCAGAGTTTCCAAGCAGCTTTTTAGTCTTCTTTTCTTACATAGGAAAAAATAATTAAAGATTACCAGTGTTTGAGGAAAACCCATAACATGAAAGATAAAGACCAAAGGCAATGAATGGGAAAAAACCAACCTGGAGAAAACAGATTATGTCTTCAGGAAGATGAAATTGATAAATTGCATAATACATCTAAATATCTTGAGATTTGGACAGCAGGCAGACATAGATTCTGTGTTTGAATTAGAGATAAGTATAGAGAAAACCAAGCAAACTAAAAACAAAACAAAACAAAAAAGTGCAAGAAAGGAAAAGTGATCATAGTTTATTACATGGCTTAGTTATAAATAATGTTTATATAATAATTATAATAATGTAGAAACTGAATATTGATCTAAGTAAAGTTACTATATATAACCCTGAGAGGACAGGAGATGAGATGCTTGTATGTATATTGTGAGGAATTAAGGGAGGAGAAGGATGAAGAAAACAGGTAAATCATCACGAGAAAACAGGTACATCAAAACAGGTAAATCGTCCTGTATTGGTGACAACCTCCCCCCACACCATCACGTCCTATATTGGGAGAAGTCAATAGATAATACCTCATTGAACAATCAATAAGTAGTAATAAAGGCATATTATTTAATTGCTTAAGGACATAAAGATAATATAAAATAATCAGCTAAACAGGGTAAAAGTCGTTGCCACTGGGAAGGAATTAATGAAGAACTACAGTTTTTCTTAACAAACCATATGGAATCACATATTTTATTTTATTTTTTTTTTTTTTTGAGACAGAGTCTCACTTTGTTGCCCAGGCTAGAGTGAGTGCTGTGGCATCAGCCTAGCTTACAGCAACCTCAAACTCCTGGGTTCAAGCAGTCCTTCTGCCTCAGCCTCCCGAGTAGCTGAGACTACAGGCATGCGCCACCATGCCCGGCTAATTTTTTCTCTATATATTAGTTGGCCAATTAATTTCTTTGTATTTATAGTAGAGATGGGGTCTCGCTCTTGCTCAGGCTGGTTTCGAACTCCTGAGCTCGAGCAATCCGCCTGCCTCGGCCTCCCAGAGTGCTAGGATTACAGGCATGAGCCACCGTGCCCGGCCACATATTTGATTTTTGAAACATGTACATGTTTC